CGCGGCATTCGGTTTTCAAACCCTTACCGAAACCGCAGGTGGCTGAAAGATTTTGGCACGCGCGCGACGTAGCGCGCGTGCAATTCGACCCGTGTTTAGCAAAGGGATGATTGGAAACTGTTGTTATGTCATAGACGAGTGCGCGCGCATAATATCGCAAGCAGAGGGTGAGGGAGGAGTCGACACCAGCCCGCCTGCGATGGTAGGACCTCAGATTTAGGATGGTCGACGGGGCAACATCGCACGAAAGTTGGCACACGAAGAACCGGGCGGTCAAATCCAGGGGGGGGGGTCGATCCCATTGCTCACTGAAGAAGGAGGATCTACTGCGTGGAAAACTATGTTCAGTGAGCTGTCAGATCGATTGCCCGCGCAAGCATCCCACCTAGCCACTGGCAACTGGGCTTGCACGAGCCCACGCGCCGGCGATTGCGCTGAACGCTGGGCGTCGGTTGGTGCATCTCCGCGGCCACGGCCACGGCCACGGCCACGGCCACGGCCACGGCCACGGCCACGGCCACGGCCACGGCCAGCCACGGCCACGGCCGACCACAGGCCACGGCCGCGCTGGTCGACGCGCACTGCCCGAGCGCGCAGCGGCCTTCCTGGTTCGGCGCGGCCGGCGCGGGGCCGCGGCGGCGCTTTCTTTCCAGCGGGCCCTTCGGTGCGACTCGGTGACTCGCGGGGGGGCGGGGCAGCACGGCAACGACGTCAGCGGCACTCCAGATATCGTAATAAAAGGGAGGGGGGGTCTCGTTTCGGGGGGGCCTGGGGGGGTCTGGGGACGATGTTTCGGAGGGTTCTCCCACGGGGGGGGGGTCTGAAATAGCTCGTCTTGGAGGGTCCAGACCCCCTCCCCTTTTATTACGAAATCTGGAGTAGACACCAGGACGATCGTAGCAAGGCTGGCGACGAGGACGACCGCGACGACGGCAGGGCCAGCGACGGCGCCGATGCGGATCACGCCGACAACGATGACGGCGTCCTCGCGTCGGCGATGAAGGTTTTGGAAGGAGTTCGACATGCGCGCGCGGGGCCGAGGCGCGCGAGTGGCGCGCGCGGCATTATCTGACACGGAGCGCCCCCCCACAGCACGCGCGCAAGGGCGCTGGGATGAGTTCGACATGCGGCGCGAGAAACTCGTTTGGCAGAATTGAACGAAAATGGTCAAGAACTGATGATGTTCGTCCGCATTCACAGAAGCGCGAGCGCAGGCTTTTTTTCAAAACTGGCGCTGCAAAGCCATGTTTTTTATGTTTCGGAACATTCGATTTTGAGATCCCGAAGAAACCTGAAGTGTTTGAAGGATTCCGGCGTGCGCGCGCGACGGCGCGCGCGCGCACTTCGACCCATTCGACTGCAAGGGATTATTGCGATAGCGCGCGCACAGGGGCGTTCGAATGATTTCGCCACGCGTGCGCGAGAGGTCCGCTTGGTAGCATGTCATGAAAATCTTGGGGGAACTATGGTGTTTTAAGAATTCGCGCAAGCGCAGGCGCAAGCGTGTATTTGAAAACTCGCGCTGCGAACCCACACGCTCTTAAATTTTGTCGGGGCGCTCGGCTTTGAAATCCATCCGAAGAGCAAGAGTTTTAAAAGATTTTGGCATGCGCGCGCGACGACGCGCGCGTGAACACTTCGTCCCATTCGTTGTCAAGGATTATTGAAAACTGGTGATTGCTGATAAACAAATCCCCGCGCATGCTTTTGCAGAGGATGAGGCGGGGGGGGACATATCGGCCTGCCTGGGACGGCACGAATTCACAATTCAAGGTGGGCGATGGGGCAGAATCAGATGTAAATTGCAAGACGAAAAAGAGAGTCGTTAATTCCAGGGGGGGGTCTAGAAAGGAGAACCGATGTGGCGCAAACGATGCTGCGAAACCTATGTGGTGCAATAGAAGCTGCGTAATCATATGTTGTGCGATCTATGCTGCACAACCAATGTGGTGCAGTATATGTTGTGCGACATGCGTGGTGCAGCCTACGTTGTGCGACTCACTTTGACTGTCTTGAAGCTGTCCTATCCACTGCTCGTGCAAACATCCCACCCTCCCACTCGCAACTTGGTCGCAAGACCTCTTCAGACCGCGACGGCAGGTACCAAATGGCACTTTGCAACAACACCGACGCCGACGCCGACAGCGACAGCGACGACGACGACGACGCCACCGACAACGACTACGACGACACCGACAATGTCTCCAACGACTTCGACGACGACGACGACGACGACGACGACGACACCGACGACGACGACGACGCCGACGACGACGATGACAACGCCGACGACGACACCGACGACGACGACGACGACGTCGCCAACGAAGACGACGACGACGACGAGGGAGGATGGAGGACGACAACGGCGACAACGACGACAACGACGAGGGAGGAGGGAGGACGGCGACGACGCGAACGACGAAGAAGGAGGGAGGACGGCGACGCCGACGACGACAACGCCGAGTGAGGAGGGAAGACGACGACAACGACGACGACGACGACGACGACGACGGCGACGAAATAACCCCAGGAAGCATTTAAGAAACCCCCCGGCGATATCTTAGCACCGCATTTTTATTCGATATTCCGAGGGGCCGAAATAACCGCACGATAGGTTTAGCACCCGGACACACAACAAATTCGCGGAGGCCTGGCCCCTGGGCTACAATCGAAATTCGAAATTCAAATCTGCGTGGCTCTCATGAAAGACTCAGGATGTCGCTTGGAGGAGGAGGAGGAGGAGGAGGAGGAGGAGGAGGAGGAGGAGGGGGCAGGAGGAAGTTCGTGGGTGGAGGAGAGGAGGAGGAGGAGGAGGAGGAGGAGAGGAGGAGGAGGAGGAGGAGGAGGGCTCCTGGTGCCAGGTAACGCTTCCAGGGTGCGGAAGGGTTATCGATTTGCCGGAAGGGGGGGGGGGTTCTTAAATGCTTCCTGGGGTTAGGAGGGACGACGAAAAGACGCCGACGACGGACGACGACGAAAACGACGACGACGACGACGACGACGAGGGAGAAGGAAGGACGACCACGGCGACAACGACGACGGAAACGACGACGACACCAAAGAGGACGACGACGACGACGACGACGAGGAAAGACAGAGGACGACGACGGCGACTACGACGACGAGGGAGGAGGGAGGACGGCGACGACGACGACGACGACGACGACGACGACGACGACGACGCAAGAGCGCGCGCGCACGCATTTATTGAAAACCCGCGTTGCGAAACCCTGTGTTTCTGCATGGTGTTTGACACTCTATTTCTTTCTCTTCGAAAACGAAGGTGTTTGAAGGATTTCGGCATGCCCGCGCGACGACGTGCGCATGTGTGCACTTCGTCCTATTTTTGGGAGGCGGTTTTCGCGACGGCACGCGTGCAAGGGCGTTCAAGAGATTCGAGATGCGCGCGCGAAAAACATGTTTGGTAGTACGTTTTGAGAACATTGAAAAGCCGATTGTTGTTTCCTCAAATTTCGCAAGACCGTGCGCGTAAATTTGTGTTAGAAATTTCGTGTTGCGAAACCATTTGGTGTTGTATGCTGTATGGGATTTCTATTTTGACATCTCTCCGAAAACTCGGGTTTTCTTTCTGATGTCGGCATGCGCGCGCGACGACGTTCGCGCGAACGCTTCGTCCAACTTGTTAAAGGATTTTTGGCAACTTATGATGTGTGATGAAGGAGTGCGCGCGCATAGTATGTTTTGCAAAAGATGGCAAGGGGGTGGGGGGCGATACTGGCTGGGCTGGGATACTACGAGTTCAAAGGTAAGGCGGACAGTGGGTCAGAATCCGCGGGGGGGGAGGGGGGTATAACCTATTCTCCTTTTAAATAGGAGAATCTATGTGGAACCATCTATTTGGTGCAATAGATGTTGGGCAATCTACGTGGCGCAGTTCAGTTCACCTTATAGAAATTGGAATTGTCAACCACTTGCTCGCGCAATCACCCCACCCACCAACCGGAAACTTGGTTTGCAAAACCCATGCGGCGGCGATTGCGATGACTGCTCGGCGCTGACTGGTGCATCGCTGCGGCCGCGCGAGCGCGCGCAGGCTCGCGCACACATTGCCAGCTAGTTTAGCGCGACCGACGCGGCCGCGGTGAAGCACTTCCCAGCGCGTCTCGCAGGCCGCGCTGACGCGCGGGCACTTCAGTGCGAGTCGGTGACTAGGCCCGGCGCGGTAGCATGGTGACGTCGACAGCGGCAGACACGATAATGACAGTAGCGATGCTGGTGACGAGGATGACGATGACGACGGCAAGGCCAATGACGGCGGCGCTGCTGGTAACGCCGCTGACGATGATGGCGCCCACGCGTCGGTGATGAAAGTCTTGGAAGCATTCCGACATGCGCGCGCGGCCGACGCGAGCGACTAGCCCGCATAGTACGATCTGACAGGGATACATTGTACATGTATGATGTTGATAAATGGGTCCACGCACACAGTACACTTTGACAGGGATGACAGAGGGGCCTGGTTGCGACTGTTTAAAACCATGTTTACAATGAGCGATGGGGCCGTATCAAATGTAAAGGGTACCGATAATTCCGGGGGGGGATCCGAATTTCTTCCTAGAAAGGAGAAAATATGTGGTGCAACCTGTGGCGGCGACGAGGCGACGACGGGTCGGCGACGGCGGCAGCGTAGCCGCCAGACCGACCGTCAGGCCAAGACGGCGAGCGGCAACGAGGCGGCGACGGGGCGGCGTCGGCGGCAACATGGCCACCTGACCGACCGTCAGGCCCAGTTCCTTAGAACAGGACGAAGAATCCCTAAGCGCAAGCACTGTTCGGGGACTGACCTTTCGGAGGTCCTCGCCGGTTTCTCGGATAGGCACTGAGCCCCCTCGGAGCGCGCCATGGGCGGCGCTGGAGGCGCCCCAGGTGTATGGTTTGACTAGTCTGAATATTCCTCCTGTAGAGGGACATGCCCGACGTAAGGGCAGGGCTCGCAATCGGTCGCAGACGGGTGGTAGATTCCATCGGGCCGGGGCCTCCCGGATGCGCCCCGAGGAGCCCTTTGCGACGTGCGACTTGCTGCCCTGCTGCCCGATCATGTTCGCCACCTCCACCAGGGGAGCGACCTTCATGCAGGATGACGTCTAAGACAAAAACAAATTCAAAACAAATATTGGTTCAAGATTTGGAATACAATATATATGAAGGAGAAGAGAACTCAGAAAAAAATGTCTACCGCTGGGAGAAGCTCAAGGTGGAAGACGACACACCAGCGAGCATGTCTGGAAACGCATGTGTCAATCATCGCCCAGAAGGCGCTGCTGCGTGACGGTCAGAAGACCAGGGTACAGGACCCGCTTTCCTCGGGATCCAGCGTCTCACCCTAAAGACCAGACCTTGCGAAACAAAAATCAACCAGTGCCAACGACACCTCTTTCTGCTCCGTGCTTCTAGCCGAATCGACCCGTGACCGTCAGTGTCCCGGAGCCCGAAGCAAGGCAACATCACCCCTTGCCAAAACACGCTGCGGCGCCAGGATCTCAGGGCACGGCGAGCGCGACCTGCACAAACTGCACCGCACCCAGCCGGAAGCCGCTCTGCGGCCGGTCCCGGTGCCACTCGAAGTAGGCGCGCGAGGGGGCGGGGCCCCACTCGCGCTTGATCTCCTGGAAGAAGCCCCGCCCGCCGTTGCCCTGGGCCGGCTGCACTCGGGTCGGGCGAAAGGGGGGAATAGCAAAGGGGGGGTTTGAGCATCAGCTCGCGTAGCTGATTTTCCCGGCGCCTCCGAGGCGCCGGAGGCGGCTATGTTTCGAGGAATGGGCCCCTCGGTGAGGCCGAAACCAGCTGCATGCAGCAAATTTCGTACCCCCCCCTTTCCCAATCCCCCCCTTTCTTTCGGCCGGCTGCACATATACGAGAGACCCCAGGCAAGAGTGGCCCCTGGTGCGCGGCTGAACGGGGGGCGCGGGGGGGCCAGGCGTAGGCGCGCAGGCCGCCGCTGCCGCCTCGCGTTCAGCGACCAGGGCACCCCAGGTGTTACCAGCCTGGAACATATCCCTATCCCGGTGTTGGGCATCGCCTCATCACGATGGCGATCTTAGGGATTCCCTCAGTTTCTGCGGGTGTATCCCTAAGATTGTCATCTCCTTTTGGGGTGTCAATCTTAGGGATAGGGATAAGTTCGAGGCTGGTGAAGGTGGGCCCGCACCAGAGGTCACTCCTGGCGAAAGGGCACTCCAACGTCCGGTCGACTGGGGGGCGGCCGCAGGGGGAGCCCTGCCCCGGCTGGGCCCCAGATCCTGGGGGAGGGGGGGGGCTCCCAGGGCGAGGATCCTCAGTGCGCGTGTTGGCGTTCGGTCGGGCGTGTCCTCCTTCAGGCGGATGCTGGACGAAGAATGACTAATGACCCAGAAATGGTCCTAAAATGTTCAAACATACTCCTAACATTTATATATATATATATATATAATAAAGTAAAACATTTTTTAAACAAAACAAAAAAAACGTCCCCCGACTTTTTGCTCTACGATGTTTGAACACTCCTCCTGTAGAGGGACAGGCCCGACCTAATGTTGGCGCCAACCTGTGCGTGCGAGCGACGATCAAAGACGGGTCCCTCCCGCGGGCTGGCACAGCGGCCTTATACGCCGCAGCTTACACGCCACCACACTGGAGACGAGGGGGGCGCTTCGCGCGCGGCCTCACGCGGGGCAGCTTGCGCCGCCCGTGCCGGCGAAGACGCACCCATCCTCCCAGACCCCCGACGTCATGACTTGTCCACGGCGTCGACCCCCAGGGGTCTCGACCCATTCCCCGGGCCGGGCTCTTCTCATCCTGAGTCGTGTTGTTGACGGTCCCGCGGGGCCCAGCCAGGGCCCCCGGAGGCCGAAAGTGGCGACAGGACCCACCGCCACGATTTTGCCGTCTCGTGACTCGAGGGGGTCTGGGTACGCGCCATATGTCGGCGAAGACGAACCCATTGTCCTGCGTCGCGCATTTGTCCACCGAAGCCCTTCTCGGGCGTTGCCAGAACTGGGTTTCGTGGAACCTGGTTTAGTGGTCTGTACCGGGGGCGCCCCCCCGTTCCATTTTCCACTAACCGGAACTGCCGTCACCCGAAGAAAAAAAACACACCAGCTATGGCAAACCTGGTTTAGTGATTCTGGCTAATTCAAAGGCTCCGGTAAAACGACGCGAAAATCGGGACAAAATCGGATCGGGATGTTTCGAAATCTCTGAGAATCGGCAGGTTTGGAGGATGTATTGGGCGCCGCGGCCGCTCCAGAGCGTCCCGGAACGCTCTAAGAGCGCTCCGGAACGCTCTGGAGCGATTTATCCCGATCCTAGCCCTGTTTTATCCGGGGCCCTACCACCAACCGGGTCCCCTCACCTGGGGCCCTGGCCACACCCGCCCTTCCAGGCGACGCAGGCGGTGCGAGGAGGGCCGGCGCCGGCAGCGTGACCCGTGTGCCGGCGGCGCCCGGGCGGGGTAGCCGCGGACACCGCTCGGCCATTTTGTATGAGGCGCACGCCCGGAGCAGCACTGGCCGGGCACTCGTGGGAGGCCTCAGCAGCCGCGGGGCAACAGGGGACACCCAGATCATCCGTTACCGGAAAAATCCAGGTACGAGCGGGCGCGACCGGTAACGGCGAAATCTAGTGCGTCAGCGGTCGCGACCAGTCGCGACCGACATTGTCAGATTGAAGATTCCCGATGATCCGTTACCGATCCGTTACCGACCGTTACCGACCGTTCGACTGATCGATCTGACGATGATCTGACGTCAGATCATTGTCAGACCAACAGTTCGATCTGACAATGACCATTGTCATATGTATTTCCCGTATGACAATGACCATTGTCAGATATATTTTCAGTCTGACAATGATCATTGTCAGATGACCATTGTCAGAGGCATTCCTTTCGAGGGGAAGGAGAGGAGGGAAGAGGAAGAGGAAGAGGAAGAGGAGGAGGAGGAGCAGGAGGAGAAGGAGGAGATGATGGCGGTAAGGAGGAGGAGGGTGAAGATGCGAACGTGCGAACGTAGGTAACGTATCCTGCTCCTCCTCATTCCTCTTATCCCCCTTGTCCATCCCTCCCCAGACGCTCCTTCAATTCCTCGGACCTCGAAGCACGGGAACTTTCAATTTGTTCCGAGTCGCATCCAGCCGTACAGACGAGGTCGTCAGAAATTGACGTCAAGCGAAAACGTGCGAAACCATAGCATTTTAGACAACATCTATCCTCAACTAACCCCTTGTCAGAATTTCGAAGCAAGTCCAGCCGTGACAACAGTCGATGAAGCCAAAACATGACCATGATTGAAAACTGAGAAAAACAAAATTCCTCGTTCCTCGCTCTGCAGACTGAGACCGCGCATTTTTCACATGCAGCGTGCGCGTCTCGCGCACCAAGTCGACTGGCACAGAGCCTCTCTCTTGCCCCCCTCGTCCTCTTCCTCAACTTTTTTTCACCTTGATCATCTCACGGCGTAGGCTCCTGTCAATCCTCTTTCCTCCCCTCCCGTGTCCTCCTGCTCTTGCTTCCCTCTCCTCTTCCTCCTCCTCTTCCTCCCCCTCACTCCCTCCTCCTCCTCCTCCTCCTCCTCCTCCTCCTCCTCCTCCTCCCTCTCCTCCTCCTCCTCCTCCTCCTCCTCCTCCTCCTCCTCCTCCTCATCATCATCGCTCACCTTCAATCCTGCCTCTATCTCCGTTCTCCCTGTCCAGCCTCTTTTCCGCGCGTCCCTATCCATCCCCCTATAGAAAAGAGCTGGCCGAGCTGCTGGCTTAGGCTCCAGCCTAGGCCCTAGGCCGAAACGCTCGAGGAGGAAACCACAGGCGGTGGAGCTGGGAGGTATAGTGAGACTTAACAAAATAAGGTCAGGGAGGAGGAAGGAGAAGAGCATGGAGATGACGAGGATATCGTGAGGGCGGTAGCATCAATGCAAAGGGTTGCGGACGAAGGGGAAACAGGCCAGGAGAGTTCTCCGAGGACGAATAGAGGAAACGCTTGGAGGGTGGACGAGGACAGGGGCATGGAGTTGAGAAGGTGTTCCAATTCGAGCTTTTCGGCCTAGCTATTCTCTCTCTCTCTCTCTCTCTCTACTCGACGCAGCCGCGGCAATACTGCAAACCCGCTAGCCTTGCGGCCCCCTGGCTGATGCAGAGCTCCTCTCTCTCTTCGTCCCTCGCCGTCGTCTTCCCATGTCCAACCTTCCCTCCTCCCCCCTTCCTCTCCTTCTCCTTCTCCGCCTTCCTCTCCCCCTCCTTTTTTTGTTGGATTGCATACAATACTATATGCGCAACCAAAGGGGGGGGGGGGGGCGAAAGTCCAAACTATACCGACCAATGCGCACGCGCTCGCACACCTTCAATGGGACGCTATAGATCGAGGAACCCATGGCACAACCTGCGGCAGTCTTGGTTATAAACCGCTGCCAGTCCTCGGGCTGGTAACACCAGACCCAGCGCGGGTTCAGCGGCCCCATTCTAACGAGGTGGTACATCATGTGCTGTTTATTTACTAAACTGTATTTAAACCTCACGGGCACGCTGGTCAGAGCTCTTTGGGCAAGGGACTGGTACGTGATCAAGCATCCATCTGCGGCGGCCCTGAGACGCGAGCTCTCGTCGTCACTCAAAAACATACCACCATTCTGAACGACGTCGTAAAACCGCACCAAATTCTCCACCATCAAAGTGCGGGTCTTGCCGCCAGGCCCTGCATCCTGGCATTCCCGTGCCAGGACCAAACCCGCGCGCGCCAAGGACCGAACCTCGGCCGCCTTGATGCTGCTTGACAGCGATGGGAAGCCTGAGTGCGGCGCATCTGGATCCACAATCATTGTAATTTTGAAATTGGACAGCCGATGCTTCAAATCCAACTCTCGGTATATCTCTTGGATGCGCCCCCAAACTTTGGAGACGCGGGCAGCAATGCTGCCGCGCCCCTCTTCGTAGATAATCTCGTACAGTACATTCGCCACGGCGCGGCTTGCCACGCCGAGGTCTACTGCGTGCATGATATCCAGGGCAAGCATATACACAGATACACCCCAAACTGAGAACAGGGGATGGTCGGCGTCGAAACCTCGCTCGTGCAGTGTCCAATGGCTGGGGCCCCCATCTGGATTTGCAAAATTGTTCCAAGGGTTGTCGCTTTTGTTAGCTGTGCAAAGCCAGCAGAATTTGTCCGACCCTGCAGCTGGCATCCCGAGACTCGAGAAATATTCCAAATCTCCCAAAACTGAATGGATAAACGCTCGAAGCGGCTCCTCCCGACTACATAAGAATGTGCCAGCGAGTTGCTGGCGAGAGGCATCTAAAGGACCGCCTTTCCAATCCACCGCTCCTCAATGAAGAGCCCCCCTCAGGATGCGAGCCCGACCCCTACATCCGGCCACGACGGCGACGACGACGCCGACGACCTTCGCAACATCCCTGGCGCGCCATAGCCAATGGAAGACAGGGAACACAACTCGCCCGTCCCTGGCCCCCCATCCCGCGAGTCTCTCTCCTACCACCCTTCACCGAGGCCCCCCATTCCCCAACCCCTTCTGTCTGCGCAATCTCTCCTCATCCTGGAACCCCCTCTGATTTCTAAACCTTCTACCCCCAG